TGATGCGCTCAGTTGTTTCTGAGACGTCCTTTATGTATGGCAAAGCGTGCCATAGCCTCGGTCTACACACACCACAAGTAGTCACCCAATTTGTTGCTGTTTTTCCATCTCTGACGATGGACTCCTGCAGGAGCCCGAAAGCTCAGAATAAAATACAATTCGTTCCGGTGTTTGATCATACGTCTTCTTTACCGATAGAAATATCTGAAACGCGAACTTTCTCTTTCATTCGTGACGTTTACAGCATTTTCATCTTTCATCGCTTGCTGTATTTCTTTTCAGGTTGCATTAGCCACACTCGTCTCAGAATTCGCTCATCTCAAGGAAAATTTTGGGGTTAAAATTGTCGGCGAAATTCCCAGAGGGTAAGTTAGCATGAAATTACTGCTTAAATGCTTTTTCTAGACTGCCACCTCCAATGGTACCCACCTTCAACCTGTTCAGCGAGGTCATCGGAGATGTCTTTGTGATTGCTATAGTATCTTTTGCTATCTCTGCATCATTGGTGAAATTATACGCTACGGAATTCGGATATGATGTCCTCTACAACCAAGTATGATATTTTGTTTAAGCGAAACTGATCTAATTTGAAATATTTTAAACTCACCTTCAAGGGGTGACGTTTGCTAAGAAAGGGTCACATGTGTCAGCAACCGCGGTATGTACCGCAAGCGGTAGAATTCGTGGAAAATGTTGGATGAACTTTAGTCCCAATCAGATAATCTTTTAGCAAGAAAGCTTGCCACCTCACTGTGACGCATTGTCAAGACTGTATTTACCGGCACTGCTGCAGTGAATTATAGCCATAATTAATGTGGTTTATACGCGACTTACTTCAGCAAATAACTCACTGATCTAATGCAGTCACACTGCCTCGTTCGTATCTCTGACGCCTTTACTGATGTCCGAGGGCAGTCCTGTTTCCGAATAAACGGTTTTGTTGTCTGAATTTTCGAGTAGATGGAGTTATTTTGCGTTGTCAAAGATTAGAAAATCGATGAAATCACATAACGACGGGTAAAATGCAAGAAACGTTGATCTTTTTCAACTTTTGGAAGTATTATTTTTAATATATGTATATACTAATAATATGAAATTTTAGTCTCTACGGTTTAGTTAAATATAATTTTGTAAAAAACGTTGAATTGCGAAACAAGCTGAGATAAAATAATATGATAAACACAATTTCAATGGCACCTGGTGCCCATAGGCCATGACTCCAACGAGCAATTACTGGGGAAGGTCTCTTTGCGGACGCCAAATCCCGAACAAGGCAAAATATTGAGGTAAAGCTAGTAGACAGACGCAGTACAAATAGTTTGACTAGGTAGGAATTGCAATGTCCTTCATCGGGAAGAAAATAATAGAAAATGATAATCTCACAGGGTGCAGCAGTTCATGTCTTTTCACTCAATCACCCAGGCTCTTGTCTTGTCCGTACTTAGACCTGTTCTTATGAGTAAGAATAGCGCAGGACAGTAAAAACCCGAAGTACTGATGCTGTGTTCCTCGTTTCTTCTGAGACGACCTCCAAAAGCTCTGTTGAACATACACAGCGAACTTCATTATCCGAAAGACAACCTGGCAGCAATTGGATTAAGGGGTCCAATCGGACATCAGAAGTTTTAGGTATAGTGAAGGGGTGACACACAGTACTAGCTACGGGGTGAATGCGATCTCTTCGGAGCCCTGATCTCTCCCCTCACTTGGTTGCACGGCCTCATTTTGAAAACCGATATAATTAAGGAAAATAATGCATTTTGTGGGACACGCAGCCTATTATCAGCAGTTGATTAATTTGTTTTTCACTCGTCGTACTTAATAGTTGTTTTTAGCCGTTAGATGAGGCAGGAGTGTTCGTGTTGCCCTTTTCTTTCTCCACCCCTTTAGATTTTAACATTCAATGACGGCATGCAGCAATGTGGAGTACACTGAAAAAGAACTGATACCATTTCATGTGCAGACGTCAGGTGAGCAGACACCTAACGGCTTAGAACGTGGGTTTTCGACAAATACAGTCTTTCAGACTGATATATGGACTCTACTTACGACTCAGGAGGTGATTATGGGCCGATTAACACAACTGGCAGACATATTATTCATAGCTTAGTTTGTAGAGCACCTCACACGAATTCGGGAACTCGGCGGTTCGGGACCGCCTGAAAACTCATGGTTTCCAACCATACGACTCTCTCATTTCATAGTCATAGTTAACTTATACTGTTCTAGTTTAGTTGACCCAATTGTGAAAAAACTCGCGGCATTCGGCGGGATTCGAACCTTTTTACGCAAGTCAACGCTCTACCTACTTGAGCTACGAATGTCGCGCTTCACACCGTGAGTTTAATCACACTTGGATCGATATTACCCGCCCAAATTTGCTGCTCATATGGAATCCACTAATACGGGACAGCAAGTTGACTGCCCAAGCAGGA